GGCCCCGACTCATAGCGACCCCTCCTTGGGTTTCCGAGGCAGTATCACTACGGAAGTAGGATTGCCCAACCTTCCTTCCGAGGAGTGGCCGGTGGGTTTGAACCGCCAGCCTTCTGGTTAGCAGTCAAGTGCTTTAGCCACTATGCTACTGTTCTACATCTTTGGTGATTAGTGACTGGGGCCTTAAAAGCTTGTGAGCAGCCATCTAAGATCCAACTATTGGTCTCTTCTCATCTGGAGCAAAAAAAGGTGAAGAAAATCAAAGATGTGTAGAAACCTTACAAAACCTCAGCCTATATGACCCTGAGACCTGAAGAACTAGATGGTGCCCAGCTACAGATGCCAACCACTGGGAAAGGAAGATCAAAACTGGAGATCCTGGATAGAGTGGGAGAAAAATTGTGGAACAAAATTAAAAAAAAAAGTGAATAAGGTAGTTTACTGGTCAGATAAAGACTGATGAAACTCCCAAGATGATTGCCCCAAGTTACCTTTAGGCCTGGAATTGAACTCATTCCCACATTCATAGCTCTCAAACAATAGACAGCCCTACTACAAGGTTTACAGCATCTAACAACAGCACCACTACGAGCTGAACAACTCTACCACGGAGATGCACTCCTTAGAACAATCAACCATTGATTGTTGGAAGGGGAGGATTTAAATTGGCAGAAATGTAGGGAGGAAGGAATGCATAGGTAAGAAGGACACAACGAAAGGGTAACCACATGGAAGAAGCAGGTGGAGAGTTGTTACACTGTGGGGGAATGTAACCAGTGTCACAAAACAAAATGTGTATCAACTGTTAAAAGTAAAACAAATCTGCTTTGTAAAATTTTACCCAAATCACAATACAAAGTTAAAAAAAAAAAAAAAAAATTATGCCTTGGAAATTAGACTGGGGCAGTTCTACTTTCTCCTATAGGGTTAAGAGTCAGAATCAACTCCATGGCGATGTGTTTGGTTTGTTTTCTCCTATGTGTGCTTGTTTACTATCTTTCATATCTCCAAAGATATTGACTTAAGATACACACTACACTAATCCTGCCTCATTAACCTAACAAAGACAACCATTTCCACTTGGGATTATAATCACAGTCATAGACTTTAAGATTAATAATGCATATTTTTGGGACATAATTTAATCTATAACCCTTATTAAAAATACATCATATTAAAGCTAAACAAATTCACAAATTTTCTGTAATATTTATGGTTTATAATCTCTATTATATGAATTTTAAATTATAATTAAAATATATCAACCTACATTTATGTCCCATTAAAATATGTTAATTGTAGAAGTATTAGATTTAGGATTAAATAATCTATTTTAGTAAGAGTTAAAAATTTTCTTCTATTGATTCATTTCTATCTATAATAAAAAAAACCTACTTCCAATGAGTCAATTCCAACCCAATGATCCTATAGGACCAAGGACTGAACCATAAGGTTTCCAAGGCTATAAATATTTGAGAAAATAGACTGTCTCATCTTTCTTCCACAGAGCAGCTGGTGGGTTTGAACCACCTACCATTGGGTTAGGAACCAGAGTGCTTTAACCACTGCACCACCAGAGCTTCTTCTGCATTCCATACAGAAGTCATTTTAACATGTAATTCTCAGTGTTTTTCATTGAAGCTTGTAAAATATAAATTTTTTGATGATTTCAAACATGCAAAATGAAAACTTAAAAAATTACAAGCATCAATAATTTTAAGAGATATTTTTCCCTTAAATTACTTACAAACCATAGGTTTGTAAGAAAGAGTTAAAAAACATATTCAAAAGATTTCATACGGATACAGCCCTTAAAGAGAGAATAGAATAAATAATTCTAATGCAATTCTAGGAGCTCTGGTAGCATAGTGCCTAAGGCACTTGACTGTTAAACAGAAGGCTGGCGGTTCAAACCCACCAGCCACTCCTCGAAAGGCAGGCTGGACAATCTACTTCCCTAGTGATACTGTCTTGGCAACCCAAGGAGGGGTCGCTATGAGTCTGGGCCAACTCGACGGCACATAACAACAACAGCAATGCAATTCTGCAAAGAGGCTTAATCTTCTTGAGTGGAAATTTGAACTGATATTAAGTTGATAAAGCATAACTTAACTGTGCAGCTACTGATTATATGACAACCTACAATCTTAAAAAAAAAAAAAAACTAATACTAGCTTTACAGATTTCAACCAATCATTAACTGAATATTTATAAAATATGTTACATACTCATCATAGTACTTGAATAATCACAAATAAAACCACATCTTATCTTTCATCATGTCTTATGGCTAGTTGTGGAGGCTTGGCATACTATGAAATATAGGATATAGTAACTTCTGTGGAAATGTAAAAGATACCAGAAGTAAGTACAATTATGAAATTTAAAAGAAAAAATCTGGATGAGACATGTAGTTGGTCAAGACTTTAAAAAAAACGTAGCACTTCTGTCATGAAAAATGAGAGAAGTAGGTGTTCTAGGCAAGAAGCATATCAAGAACAAGGCTCTCAAGGGCAATTAAGCTTGTAAGCTTTGGCTTCTGTGAAGAAACTAGTAGGTGTTTATGGGTGGGGAAGGTGGGTTACCCCAAGATTACAGAGGAGCTTTAATGCCAAGGGGAAGAATTTTAACTTTACACACAGCTGATAAGAATTAAAAGATTTTGAGAGGAATCATGTAATTTAAATTGTAGACAAAATAATAAATAATAATATGGAGTATATAGTAAACTAGGAACGGAAGATGGAAAGAAAACTCCAGAATGGTAATATCACCATCTATATATATATATATATATATATACACATACATATATATATATACATAAAACTATTGAAGAGTGTATGACAGATGGGATTAATTCATCCAATTGTGAGCTTCTGAAGGCACTCCTTTTAAAAAATACTGTTGTTAGATGCCTCCAGTACATTGCAGTACATTGTGACTCATCACATGACCATGAGACAGAGCAGAACTGCCTGTTTTTATGTGAATAGATTGCCAGGTCTTTCCCCTATGAAGCCGCTGAGTTCAAACTGCCAGTGTTTCAGTCAGCAGCCAAACACTTAATCTAGGCACCACCAGTTAGATGACCAAATTTCTATTTCTTATTATTCACATTGCTGCAAAGTACTCTAACATAAAATTAGTATTTGGTTGAGAAGTGTAGTGAAAATTAAAAACAGAGCAACAAACAACAAAAAAACCTTGCTTTCTACACACACATATTTAGAAAATAGATTCCAATATATATAATGAATGAGGAAAAATGATGTCTTTCTATAATTTCTCCAAGTATCTAATGCCATTCATGTGGCTGCTTAAATACAGAACAGCTTAGTCAAACATGAGGGCCCTAATTACTCCTGGGTAGACTGAGTAACCTAAGAGCTCTGAACAAATCTATGAAAAAATTAATTGATAAAATGGCAAACTGCAATTTGGGCAATCTGAAGCCCAACTCCATCTCCATTTTGCCCTTTCTTTTTGTGTAGCAGATAAGTGTTTCCTTACGTATTAGGTATCGTTATACAACTGTAAAAGCACAAAGAGAAGATACATTCCCATTCTTTCCTAAATCTGTGAACACTGTAAATTCGAAGATTAAAAACCATGGTAATGGTAATTTTCATTCTTAAGGTAAATATAGATTTGCATAGGATGTAAGGCTAACATGGTTAAGTACTTCACAATATTTTGGAGATAAAATCATAAAGGTTTTTATGATAATTTTAGGCACTTTGATATTGAAATTCATTGTCTACAAAAAACATAGCTCTTTCCATATAAAAACTAGCATAGGTAAAAAGAGAATAAGCAACTAAACATTATCTGTGTTTTTAGTAACGTCTGCACCTGAGGCCAAACAAAACTAAGCAAAAGATAACTGCAAGAGCAATTGCAAAACCAGCACTTACCCATATTTTGCAAAATTTGCCCAGCTTTTCATTATGGATCGACTCAAAATTTCCTCAGCTCTTGTGTAGTTAGCTCTTCTTTCAAGAGGTAAACCAAAGACAAACTCAATTTCATAACCATGCAACACTCCCATCCATTCTGGCCAAGGAAGCTTGGAGGATCGGTGTTCAAAGTAGTAGAAAAAGGCATTATTTTCTAATTCTGAGAACATTTTAGTGAACTCCAAGGCAGGACATATAATATTGTAGTCTCCAACAACATCCTGTAAGGCCTTCCGGTAATGTTCAGGCCTCTGATCATCTACCCAGTCTGTGTAATAGAAGAGGATTGATTCCTTTCCAAAATCACTCACTTCTGGAAAAAATATATTTAAACCTGCCTGAAATTGTCTTCTGGTGATGATGCTGCTATTATCTTTGCTGAACCAAGGTATTCTATATACCAATAATGATGCCGCTTCGGTTACTCATGTTTTAAAAGCCATGCACCCTTACAGCTCACCAATAATGATGCCGCTTCATCTTTATTAACACCCACCAAGATCTGGGTTTTTTTGAATTGTCCAAGCTGGAGTAGCATATCTGGCATGTCAGTGAGAAAATCACCATCCACTGTTGGGCCAAAAGTTACCGACACAAGAGACTCATTGGAAAGAACATTCAGAAGAATTTCCTGAGGATCTTTATTTTGAAGGCATTTGATTATCTCAGTCTCATTTTCTCTTGAGCAACCAAGAAATTTAGCTAAGGTCAAAGTTCTGTTCTTGGCTTCATAGAGAGACATTACTACCTGAGGGGCATTAGAAGATCCACTTTGCAAAATGGCCCTAGTGAAAAATGGATGGCTTCTAGGAGAAAGTAAGTGAAAGCTAACAGAAGCTGCTCCTGCACTTTCTCCAAAAAGAGTTACACTTTTAGGATTTCCACCAAAGGCTGCTATATTTTTTTGGATCCACTGAAGTGCCAACTGTTGATCAAATAAGCCTATGTTCCCTGGTGCCTCAGGATTTCCAGGCAAAGCTAAGAATCCTAGGGCACCTACCCTATAGTTCATTGAAATTACAATAACTCTTTCCACTCGAGCCAGAAACTTACCATCATAAACATATAAAGAAGATGTTCCAGTTTGAAAACCACCACCATAGATCCACACCATTACAGTTGCATTTTTTGGTTTAGGTGTTGGAATCCAGACATTGAGATACAGGCAGTCTTCGCTAAGGTCTGTGTTTGGGTGCCACATCTCTGATCCAAGAAAGCCTGGGAAAGTTTGATCTACGTTCTGATAGCAAGAGTTTGCATATTTTGTGGCATTCCAGATATTGGACCACTTGGTTAGGGGCTGTGGCTTTCTGAATCGAAGTCTACCAAGAGGTGGCTGTGCATAGGGAATTCCGAGAAAGGCTGTTACTGTGCCACCAAGAACTGGCAAGTTCATTCCTCTGACTCTTCCACTCTTGGTTGCAATTACAATGTCTTCTTCTGTGTGTGACTTCTTGATAAGAACACAGAGGAGAAGAAACCACAAGAGAAATCTGATGCATATGATTGTGTCTTTGCTCTGCATACTGATTTCTGGAAGAGAGGTAAGTAGTAAGTTTTAACAGCTTCATGTGTATAATATTACAAAGTATTCATGTTAAGTAAATATCATATTTTTCATTAGTCTCACAAATTATGAAACTAGTAACTATGCTACCATAATAAATATCTATGTAGGAAAAAGGGAGCTCTGGGAGCATAGTGCCTAAGGTACTTGACTGCTAACCAGAAGGCTGGCAGTTCAAACCCACCAGCCACTCCTCGGAAGGAAGGTTGGGCAATCTACTTCCATAGTGATACCGCCTTGGAAACCCAAGTTGGGTCTGACTCGAAGGTACATTACCAACAACAACAACGTGTAGGAAAAAAATACAAAAGAGTTACAAATGTTTTAGTTTTCAGTGGAGAAAAGAAGTAAGTGAAATGTGAAAATAGAGATTATTTCACTTTGGAAAAATTCTTAATTATTTCTTGAAGGAAGATTTTAACATTTATGTATTTTAAGGCTTGATTATAGAGAGACAAGCTCTTCATAGGAATAAGCTATGTCACCATGGAGATGCAGGCGAGAGTTGAGAAACCTCATTGTAATGTACGACATGACAGAACATCAGAGAGAAAACGTAAAACTAAAATCCAGATATTGAAATCCAGATGGAGACACCCTTCATGCTTATTAAAAATCAGAGTAATAACCTAATTCAAAATAAAAAGTTTGTCCCAGTCATATGTATTACTTTTGTATTATGCACAGCCCCACCAAAAGTGATATTAAAAGGTACTCTACTTATAACCTTAATTCTAAAGCTGAACTCACTGCCATTGAGTAGATTCCAACACATAGTGACCTCCATTGGGATTCCAAGGTGATAAATCTTTACAGAAATAAATTGCCCCATTCTCCTTCCACAGAACAGTTGGTGAGTTTGAACTGCCAACTTTCTTGTTATCACCGAGCCACCAGAGATCCTAAAACCTTGTAGAGGAGGAAACACTACCATGTAAATTCTCTGAAATGATCTTGGTACTAATCATGTCTGGCTGTATCTTGGAAGAACTGTAAAGTAAGTCAAGAACCTTTAAAGATCCATAGGCTCCTATCATTCTCATTTTCTGTTTCAATTGGTACTTTCTTTGTTCCTTTAATCTAATGGTTTATTCCTCTCTAAGATTCTAGACTATGATCTGGAGAAAATATAGATATTGTATTCATAGAAGATTAAGTAACAAAAATACAGTACTTTTTGTTTATCCTACAAGTTATGAAAACTAACAAATATTGTACCACTTTAAAAGCTTATATAGTAAAAAATAGAAAGGTGTTAGGGATATATTTATATATTTGCTGGGACAAACTTCCATTTTTTAATCATCCACTTTTTTCATCAAAAAACAATGGCACTGAAAGAATAAACTGCAGATGTACTGAAGGAATTGGCATAAAGCAAGTCTCCAGGAACTGACAGAATATTGAATGAGATGTTTCAACAGATGGATGCAACACTGGAAGTGCTCATTCATTTATGTAAAGAAATTTGGATGACAGCTACCTGGCCAACCAACTGGAAGACATCCATATATGTGCTCATTCCAAAAAAGGTGATCTAACAGAATGTGGAAACAATCCAACAATATCATTAATATTACACACAAGTAAAGTTTGCTAGACATAATTTAAAAATGGTTGCAGCAGTTCTTCAATGGGGAACTGCCAGAAATTCAAAGAAGATTCAGAAGAGGATGTGGAGTGAGGGATACTTGCTGATGTCAGATAGATCTTGGCTGAAAGCAAAGAATACCAGAAAGATATTTGCCTGTGCTTTAATGATTATATAAAGGCATTAAACTGTGTGGATCATAACAAATTATGGAAAACATTGTGAAGAATGTGAATTGCAGAACACTGAACTGTGCCCCTGAGGAACTTGTACATAGACCAAAAGTCAGTTATTTGAAGACCAAAAGGGGATATTGCATGGTTAAAATCAGGAAAGGTGTGCATTAGAGCTGTGTCCTTTCACCATATGTATTCAATCTGCATGCTAAGGAAATAATCTGAGAAGCTGGACTATAGGAAGAAGACTGGTATCAGGATTGGAGAAAGACTCATTAAAAACCTGCAATATCTAGATGCCACAACCTTCCTTGCTGAAAGTGAAGAAGACTTGAGGCACTTATTGATGAAGATCAAAGACCACAGCCTTCAATATGGACTACATTTCAACAACAACAAAAAAAAAATCACACAAAAATCCTCACAACTGGGGCAATAAGCAACGTCATGATAAATAGAGAAAAGACTGAAGTGGACAAAAATTTCATTTTACTTGTATCCATAATCAATGTCCAAGGAAACAGCAGTCAAGAAATCATAATTTTCAGCCTGATATGTATGTGAGAGCTGGACAGTGAATAAGGAAGATGGCAGAAGAATTGATTCATTTGAATTGTTGTGTTGGTGAAGAATATTGAAAGTGCCACAGACTGCTACATGGACTTGTTGAAGAAGTACAGCCAGAATGCTCCTCAGAAGTAAGAATCCCCAAAGTTCCTCTCTCTTACTTTGGTCATGTTATCAGGAGGGACCAGTCCCTGGCAAAGGATATCATGGTTGGTAAAGTAGAGGGTCAGTTAAAAAAGGAGGAAGATTCTCAAAGAAATGAATTGAGACTGTGGCTGGAATGATGGGCTCTAGTGTGGCAATGACTGTGAAGATGGTGCAGGACAAGGCAGTGTTTTGTTCGCTTGTACACAGGGTCCCCATGAGTCAAAACTGATGCACCTATACCTAACAACAACATTTTTTCTGAATTTTAATAATCACGAACATTTTCTGCACTCACGATATCAATGATGAGAACCAGTGGTTGCCAGTGAGGAAAGATAAAAGTATTGAAGGAATTTTACACTCAAGGATTCTCAAGAAAAATGTATCAATTTGCTGATTGATAATTAAAGCATATGCAAATAGTGACATTAAATAGGATAGTCAGAATTTTTTTGTATTTTGATAGTGGACAAAATACCTGAAATCAGAGAACCAAAGCTGAGAAAATACCAGGAAAATTGTTGTTGTTGTTGTTATGTGCCGTGGAGTCAGACCTGACTCATAGCGACCCCTCCTTGGGTTTCCGAGGCAGTATCACTATGGAAGTAGATTGCCCAACCTTCCTACCGAGGAGTGGCTAGTGGATTTGAACCGCCAGCCTTCTGGTTAGCAGTCAAGTGCCTTAGGCACTACGGTACCAGAGCTCCTCCAGGAAAATTAGAGGAAATAAAATAATAAATATTTGATATTTTATTAAATAGATATAACTTTCATTGATCATTGGAAAAGACTAATTGAGGAGGTCAAACATTTATCAAAAAGCTATGATGTGTACTTGAGTTTCTGTTAAATAAACACATTTTAAAAATCAAAGTAAATCCATAAAAAAAAAGAAACAAAAAAATTAATGCAAATGTGGTTTAAAGAACTAACATCTTTATATTACTGGAAAAAAATTAAAACAACAAATTAAAAACACTGATTCTCATTCATGTAATAGTAATAAAGATTCATAATTATTCAGACTTTCTTTTTTTAAAATTTTTTTCCTGATACTATGGTTGTAAATTCAATCTGTGTGACCAAGTACATATTTCTGTAAGTATTCAGTATTTGCATTCGTGTATTTTTGTTGTTGTTGTTGTTTATTTTTTATTTAGATGGTTTACAAGTGCAAGGATAAGGCAATATCTCTATAAATATGGCCAGAACTAAGATATTAACATCACATTTTAAATTAGCTAAATTCACCACTGTTCACAGTATAGCTAGTTGTCAACAAATAATTTTTGGTACTGACAAATCTCTGAGTAAATTAATGCATGGTTTACAGTATTTTCTTTACTGCCTGTATTTATACCTATTATGAAAACAAAACAAAACAAAAAATACTGCCATTGAGTTTATTCTGACTCAGAGAGATCTCCATTGGGTTTTCAAGGTGTTAAATCTTTATGAAAATAGATTGCCACTTACAGATATAGAAATAGATATAAAACCCAGAAAGATAAAACCCATTGCCATTAAGTTGATATGTAAAGATAGATAATGATTACTATACTAACAAGGGCTTTTTCTCAAACCATAAAGTTTTTTTTCAGATTATCTCAGTTTGATAGAATTTACTTTGAGCTAAGGTCAATAAAATATATGATTTAAATACAGAATATTTATACTACATTTCTATGCTATTATAATATTTAGATATTATAATTAGAATAAATGTAGCTTCTTATAAGTAATAATTCAATTCAATGTAATAGTAATATAAAGATGCCTGTAGACTTCATACTGCTAAAAAATTTATGGTTATGACAGTATAGGTGTTAGAGAGACCCTGCTACTATAGGTCTTTCTTTTTTTTTCCCCTCTGATAATTAATAAGCCATTATTATTTAAGAAAATCGAGATGGATATTTGGAGATGAATGAAGTGCTGTGAAGGACTTCTTCTTTTTTAAAAGTCTATTTTGGAATGGAAAGATGAATTAAAATTCAAAAGTGGTTTTCTCTGCGTTGGATACTGTAGTGTCTCCTGGTTGTACTTGTTTTCCCATTCACCCGTCAATGCTCCTCTAAGTCTAATATGATATCATCTGTTTTTCCTTTGTTCTATTTAAATATTATTTTGTCTTTATAAACCAAAAATTCAATTTTTTTAATCTTTGATAATTTTCAGACTTTGGTTCTACAAATACTTTAATTTTTGTTGCAAAATAAGTATAATTACTACCAAAGTATATTTAAGTTAATATGGAATTAATGCATGTGATAATTTTTATTTTGTATGTTTAAAAACTATTGCTTGAACATCTGAAAGAGTTCTTATTTCAATGTCATTTAGTTTTTATTTACAGACATACTTCCTGTGAGCTCTTATTTATATTTATATTTTTGCACTGAATAAATCTTAATGTTATACCATGTTATTTATGTGAATGTTTTTCAACAAAGGTATCTATGAGTTGTCACCTTGTA